ATTTGTCTTATGGACCATGGAATAAATCTTGATATCTTGAGTGTAGAAGTAAATCTATTAAACCGTATAATTTTAGGTATCCAAATGTATTGAAATTTCAACATCTTATGAAAATTAAAAACAAATGACATTAAAAAATCCCTGGCTTTGTTCTGCAAAGAAATAATTATAACATGTAAATAATAAGTATAATATTGTATAATTAGTCTTTTAGAAAATTTTGTTAATCAGAGACATAGCTAGATAACAGAGAAAGGCAGAGAACAGTTAAAATATCACGCGTGTCTACTAAACTTAAAACTTGCAGCAAGTAAAACTTATTAACCAGATATCAAAATCAGAAAAATAATACATTTTCTGAAAGCTTATGCATTTGTCTATGGCTGCAGGTAAAAATATTTACAATTCCCATTTATAAATCAATGTTGTATCATTTTTTAAAGAGAACTACTTAATATTTTTTGTTAAAAAAAACTACTAGTATTCATATGACAAAAAACTGGCTCAATGGGTATGTTCTGCCATGGTTTTTTTTACGTGAAAGGCATGGAAAGTTACCAATATTTTAACATGCAGCCATAGATGAAAGATTTACCTTTCAACTGGTATATAATATCAAAGGATCATATGTACATCCATTAAGTTTTATTTGCAACAAAATGCCTAATTTTACACTTTTTTATAGGCATGAGTGATATTTCAATGAAGTATATAGGAGCTGCTTATCTCTGTTATCTATGTCTCTGTGTTAATGAAGCATAAATTTCGGTTATTATTAAGAATCTATTTTTTTATGAGTACAATATAATTGTCACACATTCTCCTGTTTTTATGTATATTTTTCTTTGTTCCAGTAGTTACATGTTCTCAATTTTGTATTTTATGTCACGTGTTCTTATGGACCATATGACAGTATTAAATAAATCTAAAAATTTAAACTTTTTTTATGTAACAAGCAATACGATTTTCAGGTTGTGGACGAATTTTTAACAGTAAATCACTAATTATTATGAGATTATGAACTTATCTTACTTTCAGTTAAGGTATTAGGTGCCACTTTGGCGAATTTTTATTGTGGTGAATCGTTACTAATTCGGATTATTTTACTATTATTCATTAATGATTATTGAGAATACTTCCGACTGAGCGTTTCTGCGAAACATTCAGAAAATAGAATAGGTGAACGCCGGTTCGATAACTTAAGACTTACATGATCTGCAACGAAAGTATGTACTATATATAAAAGCATTAAGAGGAATGTGGTGACTCACAGGCACCTGAGGACCTTATTGAGAGAAACACGAATGATCTCTGCTTCAATTGAAACCTTGAAATGGCATACTGACATATCTATCTATCTTTTATCTTCCATTAATGTCAAACCCCTCGCGGGGACGTAGACAGCCAGTAGTCTAACAAACTGAGCTATCGCGTAAACTATAAACTATATAATCGAGTCTTCTGAGTCTTCAAGCTTGCAGCAGAAATAAGTGTAGGTGCTACAGGCTTATAAAGTGCTTCACGTGTATTTATGCATAGAGATACGTTATATAAAGGTTTCAGTTAAGATACCAAGTTAATCAACAGCCAGTACTGATTTCTGCTAGATGGGCCAACTGCAGGACTGGACTCGGCACTCACCTGAAAGCTGTACATAGAATCATAATATTTAAGGCACTTGGTAACACAAAATGTTCGCTTTCGTATTATGATCTCACGTGCGGGATGAGCTTTAGCACAAGAAGGTATTTCAGTATGTACACATATTTCTACGTATACTCTCATGCGCATCGGTCGAACGTTTCACTATCACTCACTTTCTGAATTAAGTGAGCTGAGAAAGGAGCGTTACGTATTTCATACTTGTAAGTATTTAGTAGGCGACTCGGCATTTTTTCCCGAAGTTCAAACCGACATATTCTTTTGGGCCGATTGTTTGAGAGGAGAGGAAATGGCTCAGCTCTTTTAGATTGAATATCGTATGAAGATTGAAAAACACGAGAATATCGTATATCTTTATATATGATACAATAAACATCAACCTACACGATTGGCAATGAAAATGTATGTGACCCAATGTTACGGCAATGGTGCTTGCTGGCATCCGTAAATAAAGGTCTTTGGAAAGTATTAATATAAAGTATTTGGAAAGTCTGGCCTACAACAACGTTCTCAAATGACCGATTTTGTCAATGTAGCTATCACAAGAAAGCTGGATGAATCAGCTTTGTGGCAATGGGCGACGGTTAGCATTACATGTACGTATCTTCGCAGAAACTAAAATCTTCAGTGGCCCCGAGAGCATTTGGCTTTAGGTACGCCTGTGTGAATGCGGTCCCGGTCGAATTTCTTTTTCAGCCAAATTGCTTCTGCATCATAGTAATAATATCTTGCATATCAGAGTGGTACGTTAGTTTATCCAATGTCAGAAATTTCATTTGGTATGGAAGTGCCAGATGAGTCGTGAAGGATTATTTATGAAATTGAAATAAATGGAGTACAACAACATGCAAGTATTACAAGATTACTTCAATGTCTTGTATGTTCGAATTCCGTCCGAGACTTTTGATTCTTTCACATAAGGAAGAAGCTATCAACCTAGCTTTCGCGGAAGGTCGGAAATTTTTTTCTGGTGCTCGCTCGTGCCAGAAATAATTAACAAAGGTACACATGAGGTAAGGCTGGAAAAGAAGCTATCACATTTTCAGTGTCTTTGTGAATTAAATGCAACAAACAAACAATAAATTAATTAATTATTTTTTAATGTATATAGATATAGTATCTCTGTAGTAATTTTTAAAACAATAAATAACAAACTAAAATTATTTCAGTATTCAAATATTTCGTATAAACATAAGCAACTGTAAAACCTGACTCAAAATTGAAAATAAATTCCTTTCATGTTAAATATCAAGAAAATAAAGCAATCTATAAAAGAAAATGATACATAGTATTTTCGATATCATTTTGTTACGAAACATAAAAATGACTAAATAATATGCAGTATTTATACAGTAAAATGTCATACGGTAAATACGTCATGGAAAATGTATGCAGAAATTAAAATTAAATCAATTGAAATAATACGTACAACACGAAAAACAAAAACATGTCATTTGCGACCAATGTTCCAGTAGGTCTCATTTATAACATTTAGCACCGAGCATTGAAGATTTAAGGATTCTTCATTTGCGACTAAATAACAAAAATATAAAGAAACAAAAACAAAAAGAAAAGAAACAATAAATCGAAACAAAACCAAACGTACAAATCACAACCCTCTCCCCCTAAAAACACAAACAAACAACAACAACAGCAACAGCAGCAGCAGCAGCAGTTATTGTTAACAATAACAACAATCAAATTAAAACAACAACAATAACAATCCGTAGTACAAAATTTCACATTCATTATATAACACACTAAGTACCGGATCTGGAAGATCAAGAACAATTAACAATACAACCTTTCACCAAATATCTCTAGAAATTAAAAAAAAGTATCTAAAAGCTATATTGCGATCAATTAAAATAAAATCTTTCTCCAAATTTCTCTTTAGAAAATAAAGTATAAAAGAGCTGTTGCGGCTAAATAACAAATTATGAAATATATTCAAAACTTTAAATGTATAAAATAGCATTACTTAGCACCGACCATAGAAACTAAACAATAACAATGAAATCTATCATAATGCACGAACCTTGCGATATCATCATTTAATAAATGTATATAACATGCCATGGTATATAAAAAGTTAATTTCTAAAACAGTATATCCGACATATCACAAAATAAGTCAACGATGATAATAACAAATCCGAATTTTACTTGGCTATCCGGTGGATATAAAGTTTTTTAGTAAATGCATTATATATCTTAAGTCAACAACACGTATACAGAAAATGTAAAACAAAAATATACAAGTAAATAAAATATACATGTATATACATATAGACCCTATGAAATATAATATATCTGGTCATGGCTCTTTTTAATTAATCTTATTATCTCCGGTAATCACCCATCTAAATATATCAACTGTGCTTCAGAAGTAGTAACTTTTGTAAGAAAACCGACATCTTATCTGGAACAAAACAATACCTAGAATGTTTGTGAAGTAGAGATATTCAAAGGAAAGAACTAAATAAAACATTTCAAACCGATAATGAATCAGTAAGATCAAAAGAATACTACGTACAATTTCCCTGTAAGTCGATGTTCTGATAATGACACTACAATTCGTAGATTAAAGCCGAGGAAAATATATATAAGTCAGTAACAGCAATTTAAAGCTCTAACTTGAAATTTAATCAATAGATCACAAAATATGCGTGTATTAGTGATATAGCCCTTATCTCTATATAAAAAAACACATATATAGAGATAAGGGCTATATCACTAATACACGCATATTTTGTGATCTATTGATTAAATATCAAGTTCCTGTGAAACGATCAAGGATTCGTGAATGTTTTAAAAGCTTATAGCTTCCTTTCTAAACTAATAAACTAAACGATCGACAAAGAAACAGCGTACGTAAGGTTTGAATGTTAAAACATACATTGTACTTACCAATTGTCTTGTCAATTATTCTAGGTTTTGAACTCCATTTCAGAAATACTGCATAAACGGGTATTCCCGCTAACACAAAGAGGACGAGTGTGCCAATGTCTCGAGGTTGTTGGTAGATACTCATAATGAGAGTGATGGCACTAATAACCAACTGAACAATGGCTGTACCAAGCCATACCTATAAATAAAGGCCAAAAAATAAGGATTGCTATTTAAAAACGACACCGGAAATTCCTTATAACGCTGAAAGTACCAAAATTCGCTGAATAATAAAGTATGGTTATCTTTTATTTAAATCACCTATTTTCATAACAATTTTCAATGTCTTGACATCTGTTTGGAGATTCACGATCGAGTCTTAAAATCAGTTAATAATAATAAAAGGAGTGCCTATAATAAGTTCTTAATTATTGATCATGCAAATGTGCTTTATCGTTTGCTTACCTTTAAAGGTCTCTTTGCTGTTGGTCTTTTAATTCTAAGTGCGAAAAAACAAAACAAGACAGATAATCCCATCACTGTTGCGTAGAAACTCATCATGAAAATCAGGTTTGACAATTTGGCAAAAAACAACACAAATAGGGCTATCAGACACTGTAAAATAATATTAATTGATAAGGTATTAACGGTGCAATTAGATATTGCATAATAATAATGAGTATTAACAATGTATAATACATTGGTAAGTAATTAAACATTGTCTTGACAATTAAACGACGTACGTTCTGTCCTAACATTCACGGACAAATTAAACATTCCATAGATACAATTTATTAGATCGATTAATTTTATTAGTGAACATACACAAATTTAAAAGAAAGCAACAATTGAACAGGCATGCTGTACATGTTGGAAAAGGGGTACGTAACATTTCTGCTGATTTCCATTTTATAAGAACGTGTATGGGGAAATCAAACATTTGTAAGAACAATAACAGATAACTTATGTATTTATAAGAGCTTTAATAGAATATTAACGCAAGTAAGTACATCAATTAAGAGAGAAAACAAGCCACACAATGACACTACTGGAATATTAAAGGTAAAGAATTACAGCGTGCACGGTATTAAAAACTGGAACAAGAAAAATAAGGAACAATTAACATTATGTAACAATAAGGTATAAATAGGAAGGACACTTACTAAAAATAGAATAGCTGCCCATGGCATATTGTACTTCTCGTTAAGTGTACCTAATACTGCTGGAAGATGATGTCGCCTTGCTGCAGCGCTTACCATACGTGACTGGGCTAGAATTATGGCGTTTAGGCTTGAGATGGCAGTAGTTGTGACAAAAACCGCTATTACCGGACCAAATGCGGGATTAATTCTCTCCATAAATAACTAAAATGATATATTAGGTATAAATATAAAAAAGAACTTTAGAAATAAAGAATGCAAGTTTTAGTATGACAATTTATAAAAATTTTTCATAAGTATTCGAAAACCTATAAATTAATATGTGTCATTAAAGATCCTGTAACACAATTTTGTCATGGTTTTATTTCATAAATATGGTGCTCAAATTAAGATTTTTCAATATTGTAAGTTCCAATAAGCATTGTTTATAAAGATATTACCCAATATAACATTTCATGTAAATAAAGTGAGGTAATTAGAAATTTATTTTCCATAAATTCTAAGTCAAATTTTCCAATAAGAAAAGAATGCATGTAATTGATTGATTAAATATAATGTGCAGAAATATTTGCAGTATACATTTTACATATCCTTTGATGTTTGAAAATTGTTTTATTTGCATAATTATTTACATATATAATTTTTGCAAGTGTGGTATTCACACAGTGTGGGGCCTCCGATGCCGAGTGGTTAAAGTCGCTGACTTGAGATAACAGGTCCCTCATCACTGTAGGTTCGATCCTCACTCAGGTCGGATACTTTCATGTGAGGAAGCCATCCGGCTGGCTTACGGAAGGTCGGTGGTTCTACCCAGGTGCCCGCTCGTGCCTGAAATAATGCCCGGAGGGGCACCTGGGGTCTTCCTCCACCAATAAAGCTGGAAAAAAATCGACGAAAAAATCTCGGCGGGACGCTCTAGGATGGCCCGAGTTGAGTGTTCGTCGCCCATATGGGCTTTCCGGCGGCGACCTTAAATAAACGCATTAAAAAAATTATTCACACAGTAATAATATCAATCACAAAACATACAGGATCTTTAATGCATATTGCCTGTTTCACATGTTGAACTGCAAGGGTCAGGAGTAGAAACGGACACCACTGCTGGCATTTTCGAAGTCAATGAGTTGGCCATGTTTACATGATGTTTAGTCTGTTTGCCATAAGTTGAAACTATTGTAAATGACCAAAGGCAAAATTATATTTAATTCCTGATTGCCAATTAACTGAACTAAACAGCCATACTAGTACCAAAGGCATTAAATTGATTCTGTACTTTTTGATGGTGCAGTATAACGAAGCAGAACGGGATAAAAGTGTAAACCGACTTTTAAAAGATGTTAACACTTTTATTAATTATTATGTACCGATTTAACTTACCACTGCAACAGCGTCTGCGTCAATCATTTCAGTGGGTGAAATAAGCACGAAATACGAGGCGACAATCAACTCACTTAGTGTAATCACGATAGCAAAAGATATAGACAGTGTCTTTGGTAGATTTCTGAAAGGAGCATAAAGACAATACGTACAATTCAACAAATTCTAACTCAAATATTACCCTGCTGAACATATGAAATGCACTTTTCCTAAAATGACCGTTGCTAGGTTAATTATCCTTGTAAATGATTTGGATGTAAATGTAAGTTCTTGAAAGATAATATTCAGACAGAAGCAGAACAAACAACAAAGATATATCACTTAAGTGGTAGAGGTATTTATCGCGGTGATCATTCAGATAGTTACTGTGAATAATATAATTGAGCTGCGTCACGACAAAACCAACATAGTGCGTTTGCGACCAGCATGGATCCAGACCAGCCTGCGCATCCGCGCAGTCTGATCAGGATCCATGCTCTTCGCTATCAGTTTCCCTTCTTGTAATAGAGTTTGTAAGCGAACAGTATGGATGCTGATCAGACTGCGCGGATGTGCAGGCTGGTCTGGATCCATGCTGGTCGCAAATGCACTATGTTGGTTTAGCTGTGACGTGGCTCAATAATTATGGTAAGTTCACTGTGAAATTATCGAAATACCATTTTATGACCTTAATCTACTGAAAGACTCGAGTTAAAATCAGTATGTTACATAGATTCATTCGATATATTGTATATAAAATATGTCAAAAATTTTTGTCAAATGAATTTATATATATATAATTATATATATATATATATATATATATATATATATATATATATATATATATATATATATATATATATATATATATATATATATATGGCTTACTTTTCTGGTGACTCTATTTCTTCTAACAGGAATGTTATCAACTGCCTGGAAATGAAACAAAAATAAAACAAACATGTAACTTGACTTTATTTTTCACCATTTAATCAAAAATGGTGTTTTTTTTCCAAACACTAAGAATTTAAATGGTGATTCCAACTGTCAAAGATTCCTGAGCTATTTTAATATTTTAATTAAACCACCGACAAAAACATTATAGAAATAGTCAACTTTGAATTTCTTCAGTAAGAAAATTGATTTGGATTATTTTCTTCTTTTCCGGAGGAAATGTGCAAAGCAAATTGAATACGCCCTTGACGTTCAATTTTTATTTTTTTCTGGCAGTAACCGCACTGACTTATTTGCACCATCAAGTGAAGATTAAAAAATTTAGAAGTTTTAATACACCTTAACAATACTCAAATGAGACGAATATATTTGCCTTCTTTATTCATCAAAATATTTATACTCACCAGCCACCGTACAAAAACATGCCCGATAGAATGCTGACAGCTATATCACCGGGTTGAGTTGTTGAACCTTCAAATATATCTTCGTAGTTCTCGACATTACCTTACAAATGAAGAATTCACATTTATGTATAACGAAAAATAAACAATACGGAAAAAATTATTTAAATTTGCGTTAAAAATATGAAATACATTAATTATGTAAATATTCCCATATGACTTACTATATACATATCGTTATGCTTGGTTTTAAGTTACAAAAGAATTGCTTTTTTTCTTTATATGTTTCTAAAAATAGCTACGGAACTAATATAATGTCTTTTCTTTTCAATAAAAAGAACACCCATCCACACACACGCACGCACGCACGCGCACACACCCACACATTATAAAAAATATCCCATAAAGAACACAACCCTACTGTATAGAGAAAAACGACAACAATACACTAATGATCAAACATATCTAAATCAATAGACATCAAAGAAAATAGAACACACATGAAAAGAAAGAAACAAACACTGTGATTCACAACTGCCGGCTATCATATGCATACAGATATATTAGAAAACAAATGTCTGACTTGAAATTAATTGACATGCGGCTACTATCCATTTATCGTTTTATAATTTTATAATACAAAGAAAAATATAGATCTATATTGTCCACTAAGATCGAGTAAATAATGTTGCTTTTGTTGAGATGAGTCGATCTAACAATATTTCAATGAATACTTTTATATCAATGATAATGTTACAACTTACCGTTCGCTGCAGAAACAATTCCGCAGACGACAATAAAAGCGCTGGCTATTAGTTTTGTACTAGTTAAAAGAGCCTGGATCTTCGTTACATATTTCAGATATAGACAGTTTATTATAACCACAGATACTAAAATAGAACAGAAAAGAAAAGAAAAATAATGTTAGTACAAGTAGACTTACTGCTTTACATTAAGAAATTAGTAGAATAAAGTTTAGTATGTATACGCGTCACCATGACATTTACCTTTGACCCTTTAGACAGCAGAACAAAAAGAACGCCATCAACAAATAACGAAGTGTGCAGAAAGTTTAAGAAAGTGAACAAACTAAACTATAACAATTCGGTAGAGCTAAGTTCTACTCACCTAAAATACACGCACCCAAAAGTTTTGTCGCAGAATCAGGGGGACGACAACCTGGAAAGAACAGCTGCACTATGTACAGCGATGATGCGTATGCAAGATAAGCCCAGCTCGGCGTAATAATCATGAAAATAAATCCCCATAGAAACAAAAACGCCGGAAGTTCACCAAAAACTTGAAGAAGGAAGAAATACGGTCCTCCTGCTTTTGGAAGAATAATCGCAACTTCAGCAAAACACTTGGCAAGAGAGAAATTCAAGAGTCCAGAAACCAGCACTATTATTAACAAAACGCCAACGGAACCAGTTGTCATCATCATGGTTGATATGGCAACGAAGAGTCCAACACCCCCTACTGAAGAAATGACGATTGAACAAGTTTGGAATACAGACAGTTTTGGGTGTTCTATTTCTATAATGACTGTTTCGGCGTTTCCTTTCCTGTTTTCCTGAAGTAAAGGCATTGTCTTTCCCGCGATTTTTTCTCTAAGTTCCATTTCAACAGACCTCTTATACCTGAATCTGAAAATCCATATAGATAAAGATAATAAATGTAATATATAGATAAACCCAACAGTTTGTTAATGTAATCGTTGTAACATATTTTGTGAATGCATTTTTTGCATAAAGAAACACGTGGATTCTTGTAAACCCTTTGGATAAATTAGTCAAACTCATACATGTACTATACTCGTATTTCCCGGTTTTACTAATCAAATATTTATATGTATACATTATATTTAATTACTTGCTCCTTTTTCAATAGTGATGGTTTTTTTTAAACTTAAACTCATTTTATTTATTTTGTTTTGGGGCAATATTAACAATATTTATAATGTAGACTCGTTAAAATTGAGAAAAATGAAAAAGGCTACATGTATATATATGTTATTGTAGGTCAACATTTGATGTATATGTAGTCTATTATCTATCTATAGTAAAATAATACCAAAATTGAATATTGAAAGCCGCCGGTCGACATTCTGTACTACCGGTAAACGATAACGCATGGTGTAATATTACGGAGCAATTACGGAAATTAACGACACATTACGGAAATATTAAATCACGTGACCTGTATAAAAATGCAGCTATTCCGAGTTATTACTCGCCATTAACGGTTAGATTTTACTATCTGTATCAATTCAAAGTATTTACTGACATTTTGAACAATACTTTGTCATATACTAAGATCTAGTAACGTATCCTTATTTTTTCGAGAAAAACTAGGTCAAATCCTTTTCGCGGCCATTTTGGAAGAATGACCAAGCCCAGAAGAAACTTTGTCCCATGACAAGTTTGAGGTAAAGGGTTGCATTTTATTTCTTTGGACAACTCAGCATAATAAACTAGCATGCAACAGTCTGTTTAGCCATAGTCGTTTTTAAATTTTCATTTTCGAGATAAACAGCAAGAGTTGCTCGTGTTCCGACTTAAATTTTTGAGAACTTTAGGACCAGGGGGCGCTGATTTTAACCCGCGAGGGCGCTTTTACCTGGAACCTCCCCCTTTCCTGCACGCCACCTAGTCTACTTTCGTTTTTAAAAAAAAATATTGTAAACATTTTCTTACCCAATAAGGAAATCCAGCAATTCACTTGGCGATATTTAATTCATGTACATGTCAGCCATGATAATGGTATTTTCATATGTTATCTTTCCATCTAATTTGACTATCTATCCTGAGGGTATTCCAAATAGTATTATCAACAGCTAAGACAACTTTATAATAGTAGATCTATGCATGGTAGCCGTGGTATTTTTATTAAAATAATTTTTTTGTATGCCAAGTTAGGTTTTCAAGTAGGGTATATTTCCAGTAAAAACAACCCCAGTTTCAAGCATTAACAATAACTATGCATGCTTGGCTAATTCATTGCCCAGATTATTGAGTTAATTCAAATCTGCAAATTGCTCTTACAAGTGTTAAAATACATAATAATGTGGCTAATATTCAAACCCATAATATTCCCCCATGAGCATATTGTGAAAAATGGCCATTTTCACTGAAAAGCCTCCTGTTACAAGTTCAAACTGCTATGAAACTATGAAAAAGGCTTCAATACTAATCAAACTTGGCACAAATGTTGACTGGACCATTGCCTTTGTAACGACCTGCTCAGTTCTTAAATTTCCTGTTACCATGCAACGAGGGGGCATCTCAAAAATTGCCAAAATCACTTTTTTGCCTCGATTTTAACCATCAAAATTTATTTCAAAGTGCCTGCAACTTCTCAATGGGATTGAGATAGAGTCAAAGGCTTTTCGGGGTTGGTTACACATTACCATATGATCGACCTGGGGTCAATTTAAGCTCTCACAAGTCCAAAATTTTCTTGGCGACCCCTGATGTAATAATTAGATCGCTTGGGGTGGCGGCGCTGAAAAAATGTTCACTATTTTTTAACAACATTTTTCTCAAACAAAAGACAGTTTGTTTGGGGCCTAAATAGGGCATTTTTTTTCACTGTTGAGGCCTCAAAAAAGGGGGGGGGGGGCCAAAAAAGCCGTCGAAACACGCTTATATAAGGGAAAAGGTTAAGGATCTTTTCTCCTGGAACACAATTATATATGGAGAATTTTACTGCTTAATGCCCCTGCACTGGCAGTCAGACACATAAATCACCTTCAAATTGGCAAAAAAAACACACAGCAATGACTCTGCAGTTAGTGCATGAACAGTTTTGTGTGTTCACTTGATCATACATAATATCACCTTTCCTGTTATTCATTCCCACAGTCCAAGATTAAGAGACAGAGTTTACAATTGTATTGTGAATTAATGTTTTTATTCCTAGACATAAGCTAGGATTTTCCAACATTTTGAGACATTTCTTTGAAGTAAAATTACCTTTCGCTTTTATGCCCCTATTACATATACCTATAGGTTTATTTTTTGTCCTTGTCTGTCTGCCCTTCCAGCTGTCACATTGTCCATCTATAGACTGACAAAACAGTGGAATGTGGCGTATCTTTGTCCTATGGTTTCCAATGGGGATCCAAGTTACATTACATATATGGAATGCCTAGCCCTGGGAATGAATCAGTTAACTGTAAAATTGCGTTTTCTGAATCTGTTGTCCTTAATTCTTTTGACAGATTACATACTGGCATATTGTGTGCATGAAAGGATATGGGGAAAAAAAAAG